ACAATTTATTTTGTGGCAGTGTAAGCCAATGCCACAGAGTAGTATGGCGACTGCATTTTACTTGATTTACCTGGACTACAATGGAGTGTAACAAGAACACTCCATTGTAGTCCAGGTAAATCAAGTAAAATGCAGTTTATTGAAAGGGCAAACACAAAATAGCTTGCAGCAGCAACATAAGACAGTCCTTTATATGGCTCAGTAGCTTTCCTCATGAGCCCTCGCTCTGCTCTCTCAGCAGTGTGTCCCAGCGGTCCTAGGGTCACCGACCTTCCTGACCTCTCCCAGCCTCCCCGTCTGTTCCTTGTGCGTCCAGCACGCACCCGAGTCTGTGTGTGTCCGTGTGCCTCCTTGCACACACACAACTCCAACACTCCTCCCTGAGTGCTGAGCTGGCTTCCTAATGAGGCTGCTCTCAGCCACCTGATCAGCCCAGGCTGGTCATTGGCAACACCTGGCCCCAGGACTGGAGATCTCATCCCACCCAGAGCTCCAGATCCCAGCTACAATTAGGAAAACCTGAAAAGCCAGGCTCTTCCTTATAACATGCTTTACTTTCTGGACCCTCTCAGAGAGATTCTTTTTAACACTTCATTAGTAAGTGATGAATGTAACATTTAATGTACCGCAGTGTGCTCAGTAGTCTGTCACTACCTTAGCTGCACGTGCTCTGGGATCCGCTTCTCCTAAACCAGTCCTCATCCCATAATATGAAGCTGCACACTGCTGTTCTTTTAGATATACAAACAGCTTTATTGTTACGGCATTGTTGAGGATACCCATCTCCCCCTCTCTATCACACCTTTTGAGGCCCAATCATAGAAGCGTATCAGAGGGAGGAGCTGGGTGGAGTGTCCTCAGCAGTGCCGGAACAATAAAGTTGTTTTGTCTTCCATTCTTTGGAGGACACATCTGGATATTTAGATCTTGACCGATGGGTTATATCGCCACCTGCTGCAGGAGAACAGAAGGCAACCCAGGGGCACCCCTTAATGTTGGCCACACCCCCTTATCCGCAACCAGCAACTCAGTTTTCGCCTGGTGGGGTCAGGACCTAGATCTTTGTGTTCTTCTGGTCTTCTCTTGGGGCCCACCAACAGCAGACACGTCTTTGAGATGTCCCATAGGTCAAT